TTTTTTTTAACTATGTTATTTTAGAAAAACTGATGATGGTGGAAAAATACACCGAAACGTATTTTAATTGATAAATAAAGACAATAAATGACTAAAACCCAGGAATTAATTTTGATTTGGAATTGAGACACAGTCAGGAAAGTATATACAACTACCGAAAAATTTGAAAATAATAGAAAATTAATAAAAAAATGTATTCAGAACCAACAATTATTGTTGTTGTTTTTATAAAGCACTATTTGCCAACGGGAAATTAAGACATATAACCAGAAGATATCCTGCTTTCCTGTAGACATTTACCATTTATTTATTATACAACAGGGTATGGATTTTTACCTATACCAGCAGATGTTTAGCGGTTTTAATCTTTTACTTACTACGGTAATAAGGTCACACTGGTTAAGGAATTCTTATATCTCCTAAAACTAACTGAATTTAAACGTTTTTGCCACATGTTGTTTGAAATCCTGCATCAATTATAAGGAGCAATCTTTATCATTTGAGACACATAAATCTAAGGGAAACGCATTTTTAAAATGCCTCTCACAACTGCACAAAATAAAATACCATAGGCTTACTAAGACATTGGGCTTTATGATTTCAATGTACGCCATTATAAAACTCGACTTCTAATAATATAATATCTCTAATTTGTAGATAGTTAGCATTTGATATTAATCAAAAATAGAGTATTTCTAGTTTCAATTAACAGTTCATTATAAGCAGTCTGCTTCCTGGATATAACCTGAGCAAAGCTGTACATCACTCTCAATGTTACCAGGAAACCTTTGTAATAAAAAGGCAGTTGGTTATTGATCCAAAACTATACCATTCGATATAAGCACGATTAATCTAAACAGTTATTATATATAAATCAATATTTATCTGCATATATTTAGCCAACTTCAATCTAATACTTCTATGAAAAAGTTGGCATTCATTCCAGCTACTCGAAAGTTCAATATCAATTTGCCGCAATTCGTTTTCCATCACATTAATTGAATAAACCTAGTTTATTTATGTTCCGTTAATTAAAACGAGTGCGTATTTTGCCACAAATCACTTTAATTGTAAAGGTATTTAATGATACGAATGGGATAAAACTACATTCGCTATTCAGTTTGGACGCGCACATTAAACTAATCGATTGATCGAATATTGGAGGCATTTAATATGCTGCTTCTGCTGTACAGGAGAAATATGCAGACTGCAGAAGTAATAAAAATATTTATTTCCTAAGAAAAAGAACGAATAAAGGAGCCAATAACATGCTTAGGTCTGGTATTGTAATACAATATATTAGTATATTAAATAGGTCACCCAATTACTGAACTTGCTGTACGTCAGCTAAAACTAAGTACTGTCATTATTTAACTCATTAAAGTTGAATTTCAATCGAAGATAGTTGAAAATAGCTGAACAAGTAAATTATGTAATGTCAGCTTTAGTTATTTTTAACCGTCGGTGCCACGTGAAAAGATTTATTTTACAAAAAGTCTGTCCGAACAAGAATGGAAAGTTTACAACCCACAAAGGCAGCATTTGCAAGCATTACTGCTACTCGTCAGATTTCTAAAGAAGAACGAACGTCTTTATAGAGAAAGTATTTTGAGTGTCACCAACTTTCCGCAGTTTTTACATAGTGTTTTCATATGAGTGTCTCTTTTTGGAAAGTTTTATTGATATAAGTAAAACTCGTCATAATCTGAGGGAACATTGAACACTGTGTTCAATGTTGCAGTTATAAACTTAATTACTTCTAAACTGCCAGATAGGAAAATGCCAGATGAAAGAATAGGAATGAAAAAAGAGTGAGAAAAGAATTGAAATGCAATGAACTAATCAATAAATAGTTGATGTGATGTTCAGTTGTTGTGTAGTACATACTATCAATAAAAAATCTTAAATTTTCAATATTGGTTTGAGGAAAAGTGTTCAAAGTGAATGGAGCAACTTGCTTTCTATGTACAACGAATATGAACTGCAGATAGAAAAATCTCAACAAATTGAAAGGTTTTTGTGATTAAATTATGACTCACTCATTTAATAATGGCTCATTTATTTACTCAGAATTTGTCTCGCTAATAATAAATCTGGCCCAAAGTCTAACTCAATTGCTTTCATTAGTATTGTCTCCACGTGAATAAAGAACAATGACTGTGTGACCAATTTTGTTCTCATTGTAGGTCAAACAATCTAATTCTCAGCTGTATCGCACGTACGTCTTCATTGAAATTCAGAACGTGCCTCCTAAAGGATAGAGCGGTCACAGATACCCCTAAACCATCAAGAGAAAACCAATGCCGATGTCCATTACGAGTTTGAATGCCAACATTGCAATGCCTGTTTACAACATACATATTAACTTGCTCGCAATGTCACTCGTGATGCTACCAGAAACGGCTGCTCTCAGGAGATACATGCCAGGTATTAGTCCTGCATGCTGAACCAGCTGCTGTTTGCTTTGTATAGTAACGCTGTTTAACTCAAAATAATTCGAGAGTCAGCAGCAGGATGATATGAAAATTACATTTACGCATGTTCATACATTATTGCTATTACTGAAGCTTTAATATATTGGCATATCGATTTGATATGGATTTTACTGATGTCATGGTCTATGATGAGAACCCTGATCAGGGAATTTGCAACAAAGGTACCTACTTCCAAACGAATGAATCGTATATAATTTGATAAATACAGAAGGGTATTTGTATACATATTTCCTTGTCAAAGTAAACTGTGACTAGGCTTCCAAATATGTATTTTAGGAATGTTTACCAAGCTCGTAAGGAATGTGTGATTTCTTTTAAATGTTGATAAATGACAAAAAAATCCACTTGGAACACTGATAAACTAAGATTTTAGAATCAAATGAAGCAACTAAATATTCTTGAAAATCGCTAACATTTTCTCTCAATAATTTTAAAATATGAACAGTTTCAACTGTGGTCGAATTTACATGTTCTGTTGAAGCTTCCCTGAGGAAAACTTACACTTAATACATTTAGTGATATTGCGTTAAAACTGAAATGTCAGCTAGTCCAATTAAAGAAACACATTTTTAAAAGTTGGTTATTGTAAGTTGAGGTACAACATACCTAACGTTTTTATGCATCTTCTGAAGGTCAGTATTTTAGTACCAAGAACTAGACATTTAAGCCAAATGTCCTGTTGTTTTTTGATACAGGCAGACAATATATTCAAAGGTCCGTTACTAGATATACTTTTAGAGTATAATGAGGGAGTGCTGTCTGTAAAATAAAATTATCATGTATGCTTAATGGATGTAGAATATGTTAACATCGTTCAACCGAGACAATTATGCCTTACAGATTTGACGATTAAGCAAAAAAATTATAAATTGCTATCGGACAATCTTTACACAGAATATCGCGGAACATTTGAAGCAAACGTTCTAATTCGCTAATTGCTAAATTTTTGAAAATCGATATAACCCTTTTCTGAGATTTGCGTCATTCAAAATATCGAGTTGGGTGACTGAAAGTGAACAACTGAAGCTTTATTTTATTATGATATTCCTATCTTTCTGCAGAAAGAAAAGACTGACAGACAAGAAAATTTATAGCGGAACATTTGACAAGCTTTATTTTATATAAAGCTCTTAATTAAAAATATAAAATCGTAACTGTATCCATTTTCGATATCAAGATTTGTGCGCGATTTATATCGCTTGGCGGTATATTGCTTTTTGGTGAACTTTTTGTCAAATTTATTTTGTTTCTCAGCAGATAAGGTGAACAACATTTCATTAAAAAATTGACCAAATATTGTGCACTCCTGAAAGAGTTTTCATGCGAATTGACGACTTTTAACTTACTTTTGACGGCTTTTGCTCTTTTTGAACAACACTCGTTACCACCAGCGGTTAATAACTCCATTAATTTGATATACTTCAAATTTTCAAATATTTTGCATGCTTGCAAAAAACTAACAAATTACTGTAATATTTCTTTGTTATTTTTCTACAAATTTCTTCGTTAGCTACAATTTCCACCTTGCAATATTTAACGCAGTTCAGAGAATCTTTGTCTGGCCAGAACTCACTGCCAGCCTCAAATTTATATTTACAGGGACAGCTTTTGTGATACTAATCTTAGCAATTTTGAACAAATACCAGCTAATCCAAACTAATCAGAATATGAGTCATACTATTATGAGAAACATTTTGCAGCGCATAACACAGCCAGATCTGTAAGCATCCGAAGCTGTTTTGTTCAGTTTGCTCAAGAGCTAAGTAATATGATTCTAGTCGACGCATAAAAGCAAAGGTTAATATACGTTTATCCGTAAAGTGAAAATATATGTAAATTAAAAGTGACGTTGATAAATATCTCAGACGGGGAAACAACGCACGTATCCCACGTAAACATTTTTTTCTAGCCTATCAGGCCCCTAAAAGGATTTATCCATCATTCCACAACGTAATGATGAAATATAGTTCTTTTGATTTAGTAGATTATAAAACGATGTTAATTACTTTGAGTGCGATAAATATTTTCTGTCGCGTTTTTGCTCATTACTCGGAAGCAAAATGAACAAGAACGCTTATTTTTACATCATTCCAGAGAAAACTAAATGTCCTTTTTAGAAAGTGAACCATCGATAAGGAAATGTTGGCAGTTTTCTCAAAAAAGTCTTGATTTCAAGAAGTTTAAGATTCGCGTGTTTTTATTTGAGTTGCAAAGTCGGCTCCAATATGACGTTGCTTTTTTCAAAATTTCTCAAGCCCCATTTGAACCACATAATTCGTTTTAGCATCGTTGAATAAAAAATTGAAATCTTGATTTAGTCATCAATATGAAGCGCGAGCCCGACAAGCGAATACAAAAATAAAGCGCCAGCAAGTCCATGTGCGACTTAATTGCATTCAATATATACTATATTCTTTTACATCTGATAAATAGAATAAGTTGCTTATTAATGAGGTCTCTTTCACAAATAAGCCGTAAAGATTCTACTTTCATGTAGTGTTTTTATTCTCGACTCTTTTCTGAGATACTTACAGTTTAACATAAGTTTGGTAATGATAGCAGACATATCAACGGCACCCCGGGGGCTTATGAATTTAGTTTTAGATGCCCCAAGAAACCGAACTATTAAATTCAAACAAGATCAAGTTGACCCTTACTAAATCTTTCCTTGGTAGCGATTAGGAGCAATATTTTGTGACGTTTAATAGCTCGTAACAAAATTTTCATAGCTTGATAGGAAGCATACTTTTCAATAATTTAAATTGGTTTAGATTAATTGAGTATACATTTGTAATGATACTGTTTTATAAGTTTTCTTTTATATTATCATATTAGTTCGAAATACGTTAATTCGTTTTTCGAATCAGGTAAGATTATTACTACCCATTCACCGTTCGTTTCAATGACTTCTAAAATGCATTGGTAGGTATCCTTACACTTACACACGTACAGTTTGCAGACAAAAGACTTAAATATAATCTAAATTTAATACGTCTGTCTAACAATGTGGAACCTCATCCAATAGTGTTTTTATGAATCTGGTCGTATAACGAATATTTCATTAAACTTACGTTTAACACCCCCCAGCCTAAATTCTACACCGCGTTTATCCCTCAAACTTTACACACTAAATCGATATTACGGATGATTAACATATATAAAGGAAGTTTTCATGGTTTTCGACTAACTGGGAAACGTGAAATTGGGTTGGTGGATTATTCCACCAGTCTAATTTTGATCAGATAATTTATCATTTGAAGTTTCCAACAGTTGATCGCACGCCATGGGATAAAACGTTTTAAGAGTTTAAAAGTAGTTAAAATGACTTTTGAGCCATGCGTCGTTAGTTTAGAAAGTTAATTAGGATGTAGATGTTAAACATGATTTAACAACATGGCAAGCGCAAAATATTAACCAATAAGGTTTACGAAGGCGGCAGTTGAAAGTTGGTGAGAAATTATTAAGCGATTGTGAGAAGAAATATGTATAATATATCGTTTGCGTAAAACCTGATGCATTGTGGAATGAATGTAGGATATGTCGTTGAATGATGAACACATCGCATGCGAGTTATGTGTAAAATATTATTTATTTAACCTATTCAAATCTTAAAAGAAATTAATATTAAACAAGGTCATAGAATTAAGCAGTTATTGAATTATTTTGCTCCGTATTGTAGGAGATTTTGAAGATATAATGCTATTAAATTATGTATGAGGTCCGTTCAGAAGAAGCGCGCAAATACAAAAATGTCACAAAAGAGAAAAAAAAGTTTTCTACCCAACCCTCCTCAGGCACAGAAGGCACCCCTTTGTCGAATACCCTAATTAGAGCTCGCGAAAGGGCAGCTGACGGACGGTCTCATTAGGGCCATTTTCTAATTCATTTAGATCAGATCAACTGAACTCAACGAAAAAATTAGTCCATTGAAATTTGTGGTTAAATCTGGTTTTAAAGAAGTTAATGCTTTCAAATAAGTGTTATTAATATGTAACGGCTCTTACCGAAAGCCATTACTGCAAATATTGCCCGGAAATTCACCTATAAATAATTAAGCTTGGACAAAGCACAACTAAAAGACAACCAGCGCATAAAATATCAATTCTTTTACCCGCCTTCTAGAAAATAATTTTACACGAGTTTCTTACATTAACTGAAACCTTCTTTGATTTATTTACCACGTTTTGCAGATCAAAGACAATCTAACCCATTTTATTGTAAAAATAAAACCACATGCATATTCAGCAATTCCCTTTATATACGTATAGTTCAACTGGCATATTATAGCCGACTTGGCTAAAGAGGCGAATGCAAATTTGCTCTCGTGGCAATACTGCATGATATTTGCTCTTTGCATTTATTCCAAGTGGACCACTTTAAACACGTATAGAATATGCCAATATGTAGTTAAATAAAAATAGAATTGCTGCTAGTATATGAAAGTAAACGCTTAAAGTCCAAGTAATCTGCTTGCCAATACTTTTATCCGCGATTGTTATAATATTAATAAACTGGTACCTAATTAGGTGTCTACGCAATTTATAAGGCTAAATGCTACATTCATTGTATAGTTTCTAGTTTTAAAGTCTAATAGTAAAAGTTGGGTATCTGGAATACTAAAAACAAAGAGTTCAGCACTGAAAATGTATCCTTTACAGGTCAAAATACAGAAACAGAAGTATCAAACTGCACTAAACTAAGCTTTAACATTAAAGTATTGGAAATCCTTCAGCTCGAAGCCCTATAGAATCGATTTTATTTTCACAGCTAAATATGATATAAAATATCGAAATATAACGAAGCAATGAAACTCCTATATGTACTTATTCATAACGCGACAATCGAGGCAATAATATGAGCAAAGCATTATGTAACCGTTTCCGCCAATACCTAAATCGAAGTCTTACTTTCAATCGGGCAAGAAAGTTTAATAGATGTCGCAAACTAACTACGCAGATAGTTCGCTCTATAGAACGGAATAGCCCTTCTGCTTCTATTCCTTAAGAGGATTTCAAAGTGAAATATTGGAATATTATTCATAGCAGTCCTCAAGTGTTCATTTAACCATGATTAAATCTATTGATAGTCTATGGAATATTCAGGTCATTTGAGCAGGGGAATTAACTGCAAAGAAGGCTGTCTTATACAAACAGCATACACTTGAGTCATGACCAAGAAGTAGTCAACAGTTGACGTGTCTATTACTGCACAAATAATGCTCATAAAATAAAAGGTGTAGCAAAGATACGATACGAGATAAAATTTATTTCAACATTTACAATATCTGACAAGCTTGGGAAAATTAACAATCCACTAATTACACAGAAAAAGTCCGTAAGTTCCCCCATGCCCAGCCAAGTGTGCGGTCTTGATGTCCCTCTTCTCATGGTCCAAATGTTTGCTCATTGGTCTTGGGTGCCGCCCTAACATGGATATTTGCGGAATTAGTCGTTCGCATGACAACGTTAGAAGTTGAAGTTAAATGCCTGTTTAGTGTTATTGGAGTATTCTTTATTCCGTATGAAAAAAATGTCCTCCTTCATCAGTCTAGTGTGCGTGCTTGTTTTGTCGGCTGTTACTATTGGCGGTGGTTATTCTGGCTTCTTCGGCACATTCTTAGACCCTGTTGAACTTCTGCAGGTATATACCTGTTTAGCCCGTTCGTTGGAATTGGGAGGTGATGGAGGCTCTTCTTCGTCTGGCGGCTGAATGGAAGCAAACCGTTTTTCAGCTTCGTGAGGGCTTCTGCGCCAACAATCAGCGAACTCCATGCAATCATTTGCGAACACTTTAACTCTCCCAAATCTGTTTTTCTAAACTGTTCGGGATTCTTTGTATTTTGTTTCCTCATTATTAGGCAAACTGTTTCCACCATATTATCATTTTTCAACGTTTGCTCTACTGAAATCTTGACAGTTTAAGAAACAGTTGAAAAATCGCTTTCCTCTCAATCAGCCTATACAGTTTGGATTCTCTTCCTTTCTTCATATCATCCAACAGATAATTGGCCAGTAAAACGGAATCTTCTATGGACTGATCAGATAAAATGAGGCCTTTAACCACGAGGCCTTGCAATGAGAATCGAGCTAAATGATTATCGGCCTTCATCATTGGTGTGAATTTAAAAATTTAATTAATTAATTAATAATTAGTTAAAATTAATGCATTTTTCTACTAAATGAATATAATAATAATATAATTTTAGACCAGTCAAGACCCACCGTCTTAACGCCTCCACTGTACATGTTTAGAATTAGTTCTTCAATGGTGAATTAAAATTTTAGAAGAATTATTACTTGCTCTTTCTGTTCTACCCGCAAATCGCCCTTCGATGTTTTAACTCCCGAGTGTAGCACAGCGCCTGAAACTACAGATATGCGCGAAGGTGCTGGCTTTGCTTCTTCAACAGCGGCTACAGGATCAAACTGGTTTACGTAGCAAAAAAGAAATATTATTAAGGGGCGATGTTGAATCAAGACCCTTCATACAATTTCCCTGGTGTACTATACTTACTTAGTTCTTACATACAATTGTACAATCTAACTATCTCGCACCAAAAACATTCAAAATATTATTAGTTAAAATTTTTATTTTCACACCACATCACTCTAGAGTCTAGACGATAATATTAATTAGTTGAGATAGCGTTATCAATAAACACTACTCGAAACAGTAACAATTTGAAATGAGATACTTAAACAAATTTTAAGTAATATAATTTCTATTTAAATCACGTAAAATGGTAATACAATTACCAATTTAATAAACCTTATGCAGTGAAATTCAGCACTTCAAAATTATGGTTCAAATGTGATCCTGATTGTGAATAATTAATATTAAGTGTTCTCTCAAGCCCTTAAAGCTTTGCTTTAGTTTGAAAGGAAGTTTAAACTACGTATAGCGCTACCAACGAGATGTTTGCGTTTTACTGCTTTACCGGCAGGGTTAAGCGACTAGACGTGTTGGAAAACTGGTGATTGATTATTCACATAAGTATCAAGCTGCCTCATCAAAATACGGAGAAACAAAAGATATATCCTATTATATAGAAGAGCGTGAAACATTGTCAAGTCGAATTTTGCTTGAAAATAATGCCCAAAGCAAAGCGCCAAAGCCTGAACTTTTCAGCAGTTATTTTTTATTACAATCTCATCAGGTCATGGAATGCATATTCCTTGACTAGAAATTTACACAAAATAAGTTGGCGTCAACTAAAAAAACAATTTTTGAAAGTTAGACGATCTACTTCCTAAAAAAAACGCGACGTTCTGAAGTATATATGTATAGGTATATGAAGTAACTATGTTTACTTCTTAAAAGCTTAGGAAGTGAATTCAATAAAACAAAATGACAAATGGTCTGTTTTGGTGGCAATATTAAACATTAATAACGCAAATTATCACACTACTCATTCCACGACTAACAACTGAGCAGGATTACTTTTCTTATTCCGTCGTCAGCGGATCTTCGGTGTTATGAAATCAAAAAATTACTGTCGGCTTTTTATTTGCCTTTTAATTGATTTAAATTTATATTTATATTTTGCAGTACCTACGTATTTCTAAGGTACACTTTCTTGCACTGCTGCTATAATAAGACTTAAACCTGTCTTCCGATAATAATTTGATTATGCGTAAAAGAAAAACGTTTTGAAATTTTAAAATGATTTGGTGCAGACAAACTTTGGATAAAGTGAAGAAGTCTAAAGCTGAAAAAAATTAAAATTAGCTATAAATAACCCAGACATTTTTTACATAATTTTGAAATTATTTAAAAAATGAATATATATTATTTCCCTTTTATGCAAATTTCAACCTACAAAAATCAACTAAGTTTTGCCTCAGCTTCTAACTTCACATATATATTTAAAAAAAAGGTTAATGAAAGAGTATTCATTATGAAATTCAACTGCCGTAGTACGCTACGCCGAAAATCAGTAATATTTCGCCTTTTCCGCCTCAGGTAATTATTTATGTGTTTAACTTGGCAACTTGGGAAAATGTGTTTATAGATGCAAAGCGAAAACGCAAAATTAGGTTGAATAATGTAAATTTATTTGAGCTAAAGCAGTAAAGCAATTGCACAAGTGTATGTATGCCTACTGCGCTACTACTACAATTAGAATATAAAAGCCAATGATAATTCAATGAATTAAACGGAATTCATTACAAAACATTTTCAAGTCCCGTGAATGGGTTCAACCTAACTTAAAGACTACGCCCTAGTTAAATTAGAGGGTGAATTTAGTTTCTGTCGACGATTTCACGTTTAGTAATCCCTTTGCATGCTTTATTCAATTTCCCCTCGAATCGTGACTGAGGTAAAAACAAACTGTCCTCCATTCAAACTGAATATATTGTCGACAACTTAACAGTCTAAACAAAAAACGAAAGTAACATTATAAAAATTGTAACAGATGTTCCTTACCCATAAGTTTATTGCTATATTTGTCGGACTTCTATCATTCAAGACGAATTTTAACTAATGGTCCGTTCTATAGAAAATTGTGCTAAATCTACCTTTAACTACAGGTTTCAATATATGTTTTTTTTACATTTTAAAAACCTTTGCACATTTTCTTCTCTGGTTTTGGTGTGGTTTGGTTTTTCAGCACATACATAATGGACCTTCTGGGTTAAATTAAGGCTTTTGTCAAATAAATTTAGAATTGACTGGTTACATTTTATTGCGAGTTAGATTCTCGCTATTCGTTGCTATTTGTGTAGGTTTCTAGTGCTGATCTAATTGTAGCAGATCGTTTCTTAATTCATACAATCAGTATAAATCTCAGTTCTGATATCCGATAAAAATATCAATTAGTCCACTGGCAATTCCCTATTTTAAAGCCGTAAGACTTGCGATGAATTGTTGGCTGTTCTTACCTGCGATTTCATAATATTATCTTTTAATTCTATATATAAATAGTTTGATTCGGTTAAATTGAAATTATAATTACTTAAACACGCAGTAAAAGATAAACTTGGTGCTCAACTTTTTCGACTATTTCCAAAAACGACACCGTCGCGTATTGCGATATAATTTAAATAAAGTGTCAGGCATTACTTTTGAAATTTAAACATTTCACTTTGGCTCATCTAAAGAAATACGTGTTTCAAATTTTACTCAGAATAAACACAAATTCATTGGCTATGAAGAAGTTTGGAAGTTAGCAATTCTCGAAGCGAGAAAAGATCAGAATCAAGGCTGCAAACGTTCAAGGTGGATGTGCGTGCAGTGAGAGATGGCTAAAAGAATATTAAGCTGCAAAACAGGCGAAGGAAATGGGACACACGAGAAAAGGGCGAAGGAAAAACCGAAATTACTATGGAACTGGCCAAGAGTGCAAAGTCTGTGGAAAATCAGGAAGAAAAGCGAAGCAAATGTTAAAGGGTGCCTTAATGGAAATGGACGAACATGACTGTTACGACATTGACTAGAGCTAGACTCGATAAGATTCACGAGAGAGCAAAATATATATAGTGTAATATAGGAAGACATGAAGGTCATCAGAACTTTGCAACAGTTTAAGTGCTTTGGCACGTTAGTATGGAAATATAGAATTATTTAATTTGATGAAGTATAAATTATGCTTTTCTCAAAATAACGCGTTAAGGGACAATATATTCATTTATTCGCCTTACTTCTAATATATGCCTGTTATAAATTTGCACTTAATTATATTTGTTAACACGCACACCCTGTCAGAGCCGGCTATACCTCACCACTGTCAAGAATCAGCCCTTCACCTCTGCTGAGTCAAACCTTTTCAAAAAAAAAATCTAAGTGGGGATTTGTGAGTGGGAAAAAAATTGAGACAAACCGAAAAATCGGGTTAGCAAAAAAGGAAAGGCCCATATGCGACGCGATCGCGCTCATTGTGTTGTTACCACACCCGTTTTTCGGCGATATTTTTGGAGTGTTTTTGTCTGTCTTTTAAAGGAGTGAAGCAATTTTGACCAAAAAACAAATTTCTTCAAATCTAGTATTTCTACCACTTCAAGACGTATCTGTTGTAATGCCTTAATCTAGCAGGAACGAACTGGAAGTTCCATTCCACATTTAAAATCCTAGTCGAAATAAAATCTCAGAAAATTAGTAAACAGAAGACTATATTTATGATCGTCAGTATCTAAATTAGATATTTCAAAGTAAATAAAATCGATAGAGTTCCTAAAGCTAAAAGTACAACTTGAAAACAGTTAGTTCAACATTCTTTGGAGTCAAATTTAAAAGTACGCGAAAACTTAAAAATGTTCGTTTATTAAAATACATTTCTATAAATTTTACTTGGTCCTATAGTTTAATTGTTACCGTTATTTTATTCTAATACCACAGACAAAATTGATATTCTTAAAAGTACAGGTTTCTACTTTCTAGCAATCAGGCGTACGATTATTTTGGTCTATTTCTGTTAGTAGAAAAGGGAAGTAAAAAATAATGTATAAACAGAGAGCTACAGAACTATTTTAAATGAACTTTTTACAATAAACTGCTCAACAAAATAGACATTACACGGACAAATTTCGAGTAATTTTGCAACTAAACAATGCAAAATCAGTGAAAGTTTCACATGCTCTTAGTTGGACAAAGTGACCTTTTTTGAAATATTTGAAAGTAAAGTGCAAATTTAGTTAAAAAGAAAATAAAATAGTTCAAGGTCTGCTATAATCACAGATTTAGGGGAAAAATTCTCATTTGAGCAACTTTTGGTTAAATTGTCTATGCCGTTTTAGCTTCAACACGATCTTAAGATCGTGAAAATCACACTAAGAGCAAACAATTTATTTCTGCAAGACCAAAAAGTTGATTTGGTTTATCTATAAACTTTTGATGTTGATATCCAAAAAACCTGTTTTTTGTCCAACTAGGAGGCTTACGAATTTTCCGCAATTTTGCATTTTTTGTGCGGTACTTAATTTGGACCTTTTGGACGAACAAAAAACAAATCAAGCTTCAAACTGAAACAACATCACCTAAAAAAATCAGAATTTATCCACTAACAAAATTAGGGCAAATTTGGCTTTGTAACGTTCATTTAGTAGAAACGTTTATGTTTGATCAGAGAAGAGTTAATACGTTTTTCTGTATTGTATGGTATAATAGAAAACCCAATATTCATTCTGATATGTTGGAACAAATTAAATTCAATAAAATCTTCAATTTTTACAGAAAATCGTGGTAAAAACGATTTTAAACGAAAAAAGTTAGTATTATAATGTCGCTTGAGGAAATAATTCCAAAATTATGTGAAGGAAAACAGAACCAAATTACATGGGTTACAAAACTTATATTACTCATGAGTAACTATTCGCATAAAGCGATAGTTTTTGTCATAACCATAATATCATCAACGACAAAATTGATTATTTTAATTATTCCTGAGGTAATAAGGTATAACGGTGGCATATTTTCTTGTACCTACATATGTCTCGCGGTCTGATAAACGCTTTCGTACGTTTGACAATGAGAATAAATCATATGTGAATCTGTATAAAGTAAATAAAACCATATTTGTGTTACTTTTTCTTCGCCTTTACAATGTATACGAAAATATAATTTAGCTGAAATGTAAGTATACATGATAAGAATAAGACACAATTGGTTAGTTTTCAAGCTTTGTTAAAATAAAAAGTCACTTTAACTCAACTACATTTCAAAATGTTGTAGATGAGGTCTATATGGGTGAAGAGGATTTATATTTTTTAAATCTTTATTTTTCAATCAATGCTTCAATTTTCAGACAAAACAAGAGTCTTTTTAAAAAGAACCTCACATATTTCATTATGGATTGATAAAGAGTGCTCTTATTTCACAATACAAGACGAATTATTTATCAACACACACTGAAAATCACCTAGAGGGTATTTTACGACACACTTTATTTCAAGTTCTTAGAGATACATATTTCCAATTAGAAAATCAATTAATTTGGAAAAGTTTTCTTGACTTTTCTATAGCAATTCTGCGATCTTCTTCAAACGAAACTTAAAAAAGAGGAAATAGTTAAATAACGATCCCAATATCTAAAAATTCGTGATCTTTTTTTAATGCATGGAAATATAAAAAATGACGCTTGGTTAATAAATGTTTAGATATATTTTTACTATGGCATGTACAAATATTTTTTTTCTTCTAGCAGATTGTTTAATAAACTTTTCGCCTGTTATAATTAAATAAACATATCAGAATTGTTCTCAAAATATCAAGTAATTTGTTTTTTTTTATTGTGAAATATAAGCACTCTTCATCAATTCGCAGTAAAAGACGTGACATAATTCTGTCTGACAAAAATATTAAAATAGAAAAAAACCGAACACAACATTTTTTTATACAAATTTCAAATAAGTTGTTAATATTTATCCAATGTACGCTTGAATTGAGTTTAGCTATACTCTGAGTTTATTAGAAGTAGCGAAATGCAATTAAAGGCACACTAATAGAAAATGCTTTACACGACGTATGAAAAAATTGACCCAAAAAATCTATTTTGCGCTGCACGCTCCTTCCACTGGCATTTTATGTAATACTTCATCCAAAAGCTGAAGAGCGCGATGTAAGTGGACTTCAATCCAACAAGGCGTTTCTTTGATCTTTTTTCTTGGGTAATCTCTGCCCCAACCTTTGACAAAGCTGAGTCGAAGAATGCACAGTCTTCGTAAATCATCTACCTACGATGTTTATTATTTAAAATTACTATAATAGGTATAAAATTATTATTATTTAAAATTACATTCAAATAAATGTGTAAACGTATACAAGTGTGTACACTATTTTTCTACATAACATTTTTCCAATATTCCCGCTTTATATATTAAATAATAAAGGATTTTCCATAATTAAGAAAAGTATCGGCCTATAAGATTTTGACCTTTGTCTTGTCGCCTACCTTTCTTACTTTGATAAGATTGTCAGTTCCGAACAATTATCCGGTTTTTGCAACGAATGCTCACAAAACAAGGTGAAAAACAACCTACCCCTATGCCTGCTGAAGCTGATATACTCATAGCCGGAGCAATGCCTCCCACAGAATGAGGTCCCGGAATATGGCCTGCAACAGCTGCAGCCTGAGCCGCGGCCGCAGCCTGGGCTGTTGCAGCTTGAGCAGTCATTTGTTGATGGCACTGACAAAGATCAAATACCTAGAAATTATAACGTTCTTTATGAAGTCGCAGACCAATTAACTAAAATTTGGAGAGCATATTGATCGTAATCGTAGCTTGAACATTTTGTTATCTGAAAACGGATTTAGCAGCTATCAGGAGGGTGTTGGGATTCCTAAATTTGCCAAACTTTATATCATTTGAGAGTCCACAAAAGTACCCTTCACTTTTGGACCTATTTTTTTTAATTAATAAATAGTTTTTCTATTTTCAAGTAACGAAGCATTCACTAAGACACATGTCGATAAATTCTTCTTGGGAGGGGAATTTTTTCGTGCATAAACGCCTTTTAAAACACATTCCCAGCAAATTTTCTTCTGAGAACAAGATATGTTTGCTATTTCTTGAAATAAATAAATTTAACCAACTAACATATCATTAAATAAAAATCTAGTTTTTTTGTTTTCGCTTGAAAATTATAAAAAATATTGTTCAATCAAAAGGTAAATTGAGAAACTTTTCGTCTACTATAAACTACCTAAAGACTTTGCATTTTTAGTTATGCTACCAGCTCATTTGTTCAATAGCACAGATTTTTAAAAATGTCCTTAACACCGATTTCAAACGATGGATACGAAATGTATGTACTTTTCAACACCTGCAAATACATTTGCAATATGGTGGAAAAAAAGTAAATTAATTGTGTAAATTATGTGAATAATACATCTGACATTTTCCATAAAAAAAATTAATTGACTTTTCGTAACTTTGTGAAAATTTCAATAATTAAATGGCAGGATTAACAGAAGAAAACATTTAGGACAGCAGTTTAGAATTATTTCAAAAATGAATAAATATTACGAATTTTCAATAATAATCACAACTCATAAGCCAAAATAAACATATCCACGCTTCAATCAAAAGAAAGAAAACTATAAAAAATCGGGAAAATATCTCATAAATAAAATTATTTGCAAGCATATTTAAATTCAGCTTCATCGCCAGGGTTTCAACGAGCTTTACTTATAAAATGGCACTAGTTTCTAGATATTCAATTATCTTTATAAATAAAAAGTTTTGCAAGTGTCTGGAAAAACTATGAATATTTATTGATCATGCAAAATTTGATCGTACTTTTATATTCGCTCCTGGGAATATTTTATGGACTGCTTCCCCTGGTTGTCGTCCATTTTCCCTATCTAAATAATAGCTCTGCACAAAAACGGAGTGTTCACTTAGACATCTTAACCAAACATCGCCCTCCCCTTTTAAAGTAAGTTCGACACCTCGACCAATATGTAGTCTTGATCGCTCACTTTGTTCCGTTCTATGAACATTACTTAAGGCACCTAAAAGTAAAACACTAAATTAAATTTGGGGAAATAATCGTTTGGTCGTGCTGCTTACCTAAACAAAACCGATTACCTCGACTGGGATCTACATATCCATCTACAGAAACAGTCGGTATTTTTGATAGAACTTTGAAAGTTTCTCCTACTTGCGTGTCCAGTTCAAAATATGCAATTGAGCACCAATATTCTGGTAAAGCTTGACTTGATAAAGGTCCTAAGAAAATGAAAGTATAGTACATTATTAATTTAAACGAATATAGCAAATCGCGGTTTAAAATTTTGCATGCTCAGAAAGAACGTAGGAAACCAGCAACTGTTAATACTAACTAGATAATAGTGCGATGAAAAATAAATTGATAAGCAGCATTTTTTACAATTCAACAAGAAGCAGATTAAATGAAAATACATACTTATTTTATTTTGTCACCGTGAAGATAAAAGTGGAAACTAATATTTGAAAACATAATTTGGAGTGAACCTTTGATATCAACCACAGGTAGGGGTCGAGTTCGCGATGATTTACATATAAGAAATGTACAGGGTCGCTAAATGAAAACGAAAAGCCGTCAATTACGAACGAGAGCACAAAAGATGCTTCATCGATTTGAAGAAATTTTGTACTATTACTGCATGGACTGCTCATTTTCCACACTTGTTCCATTGAGTTTAAGGCAAGATCGTTTTCTTTACAAAGTTTGCTAAAGAATAACAGCCGCTATTCTATATAGGTATCCAATAACATTTGCAAATTATATAATACCCAGTTATTTTAAAACTGCTAAATTAAATAAATGACATTTAATGTACCGCATAGAGAATCAAAGACCTTTCAAACAAAATGTAACTCGACCCACTATTCCATTAAATATTTTCCGGTTGTTTCGCACCCTACCCAAGGGAAAACAGGTAGAGTTTGCATTGTATTTTGAAAACGTTTCCCCTTGACAATAAAAATTGACTGGTTCAAGCTTTTTTCTAAATTTCATCCGATAAAGGCCCGAAATTGCTATTCTTTCGTTTTGGATGAGGTACGATATATGCCTATAGTCTCTACTGTTTTACAGTCTTTAGAAGTATGTTACTGCCCAATTGTAATTGTGTATATAAACATTTTTTTAGTGAGAATTTTTATTATTTCAAAAATACATAATCTACATTTTCATCTGATTTAGTATTTTTATATTAGTATATTTTCGAATATTTAAATTCTTATTTTGACAAGGTATAATTGTACCATAAATGAAAGCAAACTTAGTCCGGTCCTTACAATATTACTGCTCACGCGTTTTGATTTGCAATGTTTTGGATTTCGATCGACTGTAGTTTGCGATATATAGAGGATTCTACAATTTCCATACAAAAATCGAATTTATAAATATCTCGGAAATCGCTTAGAATAATAATACATTTTTATGCCAGTGGCGTGGGCGCACTCACCTCTGATAATTTTAGATAAAACAGCTATATATTGCTTATTTTTTAATAGAAATGATTGCTTAAGTTCCTGTTCAAGAAAAAGTATCCCGTTTTTTTAAGACGCTCACTACCTACTAAAAATAGATAAATAAATTGCAGAACAAAATGTGATAGATTAAGTTAATTTAAAATTACAAATTGATGCCCAAATTTTGAACTTCATAAATGTTCTAATTACAGGTTGAACTGTTTTACAGAATTGAACGCCCTTTAAAACGATGTGGCACTTGACCCCCCTTGCCCCTATCTACCCGTCCTAGGGGGTTGAAACAAGGAGGCTAAAAATATTAATTTAAGGTGTCCCTCTTACAAATAACATTAACGGGGCTTTCCGATTTTTTCATATTTTCAACTGCAAGAAAGATATTAAAAGAGTTGAAGTTTTCAGGATGACACCCGGTTTATAATTGGATACAACAGACGGTTAGAGTTATCAGTTTCCTAATAGTTAGAATGGTATATTTCATCATGTTATAGCTGTTAATATTTACTTACTTATATTATCTGTGTGCTCTACACGTTCCCAGTTGCTTCCGGGGTAAACGTTATTCTTAACTGGTCCACTAGTGTTTTCCATTCTACACTGTGGCTGTGCAATATTAGCTGGAGGTGGAACTTGAACTACTTCCATAACATTCTGATTGTGACTTTCTGTCTGCCCACTGTAAAAGTGGTGACTTAGATCGGATTGTTCAATAGTTGGTATATCTAACGGCTGAAAATAGTTGCTCGTCAAACTATTGATACGAAATTAATAAATTTAATTTGAGATGAAACATACACACTTTGAAAAATTTAGACGGTTTAATAAAAGTACCATTTGCATTTGAGACGACATACTAACTGGCTGATCTGGTGGTGGCATGTGATGAGGCCAATTGCTAATATCAGGCGGTTGCTCTGAAACTAGTTGTTGTTCTTCTTTGAGGATGTTGTGAACAGGCATCGTATATATGCTTGATGCTGCTTGAGAGCTGGTCACTATGTGATGTGAATTAAGGTGCTGAGTTGTTTGGCCATGTGCTTAAAATAAACGAATATTTCAAAACGTATAAATTTTTACGCTTTTGTTATATGTATATACACACATATGTAGCAAACAAATATGTTTTCGGATTTAAAGTCCGGTATGTTTAGTCAATCTTCGGAACTTTGCCGGAGATTGGTTTGGAGATTGGATGGCGGATAGCCGAGCGTGCCGCCATCGACGCGAAAGCGACAGGTTTTTGATGCAAAACTGTTATTAAATTTCTTGTTCATGTTTCTTCAAATTCATTTCATAAACATTATGCAAAATTTCTTTTGAGAAACCAAAGCGTTTTCTGAAATCGGCTTAAAAGAAATGTTCTAAGGGATTTTCCATATCTCGAATATACCTGAAAATAATACAATTATTATTTGAACTGCATATCACGCTTATTGATGTTTTATTTACGTATCTTTTTGCTATGTTCCAATCTAATTCCAAGTACGAATTATCCCGATTAACACTGTACAATACATCGAAATCGTTATATATATATTTAAAACAAAAATAGTATAAAAAACACGAGAAGTTGGAAACTTTCGCTCACAAACTAGCTCTGGCGATCGTTCGGAGATGCCTACTCCCATCTCCGACAAGTTTCCACCGCATCGCCCAACAGCATTAAAATGCGCGTGCGTCAGATAACCAAAATTGCCTCCACCGAACGTCGGGAGGCCGGCTCATCGTAAAAGGTCGACTAAACATACCGGCCTAACTGTCTGCTAATTATTTCGTTCGATTACGTCATATCATAACAAATATGTAATAATTACAGACATGAATTAAAATATTGAGTATGATAAACTGCTAACAGGAAATGCGTACTTATGTACCCGACAGGAACCCTGATAGGACATACGTGTGTACCAGTACCACCTTACCATTATAATAATAATACCAATATCTACATGGTGGTCAAAACTAAAAAAAAATGTGTTCTTTAAATCTACAAATATGAAGAATATTTTATATTTATTTATATTT